AGTCTTCAGAGAATTGTGGAAGCTGTGTGGCTGGTACATCTTGGGCAGTGACAAAACATCCTGCACAAGGAATGGGAAAGTGGAATATTTCAGAGAGCATAAAATCTGTTACTCTTTGTAGCTTTGTTTTTCATTTCAGATGATCAAAGTACAGGCTGGGAAGGAACAGTTAGTCATATATAGACACCATCCTTTGGGCTTTTAGTTGCTTTTGACTTAAAGGCTGAGCGGTTGCCAAATGTTTTCATTTAGTAATTGGGCATTAAGACAAGCAAGCAAGGCCTAAACACACTGAAATGGTTTTCTTGCTTAGTGAACCAGGAGGTACCCAGGTGCATGGGACAGCCTCTAGCTAAGTGTGTGCTTCCAGGAATGCAGGCAGATATTAATGAACAGTGCTGTGCTTGCTGTGAGCTGCACCAGGGATGCACAGCAGGTGAACTCAGGACTCCTGTGTCAAATTACCTGCAGTCACTTCTCGCTTTGTCCAGCTGCATTTTTGTAGTTAATGTCTGCTAATTAAATGCCAGCAGCACAGCTGAAACCAAGCGGCTGTTCAGCCCTTGCATGCAGAGCAATGGGCCAGCAAGATGTGTCTCCTGTGAGTGGTACAAGACTCTCCTGTGCCTGTGAGCTCTACTTGGCATGTGTTCCTTTCTCAGAAGCTTTGAGGCATGCTCAGAGTTCTGTGACTCAATATATAGCCCTTTGTCTATGTTTAAGATCGCGTTAACCAAAAAAAGAAAGAGTTACGTGGGTTACAGTAGAGATGGAAAAATCTTTAAATGCTTTTCTTAACAGCCTGTTTGTAGCACGCTGGACAGTGATCTAAACTTCCTATCCAGCCCCCAAACCTCCTTGCTGATCAGATTTCTTTTTCTCCAGGAATTGCTTGTTCTGACCTGGCAACTTTGCTGTGAATCCCATAACTCACAGCCTTCTGGTCACCTCTAGATTGCAGTCAGCAGTTCATGCTTCTTTAAATATTTAGGCTCTGACAGCAACAGATCTGTTCACCTGACCTTAAGCATCTCCTGGTCTAGCTGCGCAAATGTACAGCTTTCAGAACTAAACAGGGAAGAAGTGACTGATGTGTTACCAGATGGGGTTGGAGAAATGAAATGTGTTGTGGATGCTGCCTGGGTAGCTGTGAACCCCTGCTCTGTTCTGTGGGCTTTGTCTGATAGATGCAATTGTAACCTGGGGAAGAGATCAGTGTTCACCCTGAGGGTGCTGGGATAAGCATTCCTTGCCCAAATGTTAGTGCTTCAGATGTCCTCTGGTTAACACTTAGCTCTTGTTCTGCATCTTTTGGGTTTAGCAGGGAATTGTATGAGACTTTGTTATAAAGTGGGGAATGGGATGAACAGAGAGCTAAGATATTCCTAAAGATTTCCCCTCAAATCTAGATTTTGTAATAAAGTTGTGACTCTTATCTGTGAGTCTTTCCAGTTCTTTCAGGTTTTTCTTGATATTTCTAATTAAAGAATGCAGGGAGTGAGAGAAGGCCAAATACTGAGAACTTGCTGTTTTTTTTGTAGAAAAGATGAGTTTTAAGCTTAAATAAAACCCCCCAAAGCACCCCCTGCCTCAGGTTTCCATGTTACTGCTGCCCTGCAGTGCCCATGGATGTTGGAGGAGGAACCAAGTGCCTTGTTTTGCTGCAGTTCTGTCCCTAACTTGCTGGCAGCAGCTGTACTATGAAAGGTTGCTATGCTACATGTGCACTTAAGTTTATGCACGGCTATTTTTAAACTGTCACAAGGTAAGGGCTGCTTTTGCTGAAGTTGTCTTGCAGCAGAACGCACCAAGAATGATTTTTTTTCTTCCTAGAAAAGGGTTCTGGTTTTGTTTTGGGACTTGCTGTTCCTCAAGCGAATTACTCTCTTTATTGCTAAAAATAGAAGGGAGAAAAACTGCAATTCTATTTGGAACCTGTGCCATCAGTGATTTTTTTTTTCTTCCTTTTTCCAAATGTGAGCAAAGCAGTGTCAGGTTCTGGTGGTCGGTCTTGCTTATTTTGGAGACTCCAGATGCATAATTGATGTGGGTTAATTTATTTATACGATGTTGATGAGAAGTTGGATTGTCTCTGGAATGGGCTGCGTGCTTAGATGCTGAATGATGCTTAACACAGTGCATTCTTTTAATAATAGGCTTTTGCAAGCAGATGGCAGGATTCTTCTTCTGGTAAAAATAGACACATAACTGTAGCTTTTATCTCTGTGATTTGGATCTTCATATATCTTGTATATAAATCTTAACACACACACAAAAAAGTCAGTGTAAGATTGCTTTCCTAACCTTACTTTTGTTCATCACTGTACAGCAGATCATGGATTGTAGGGGGACAGTGATGTGGCATTGGTGGAACTGCAGTGGCTTTTGCCTAACCTCGTGCCATTGCAGATCCAGCCCAGTGTGCCAACTCAGTTATAATGAATTGGCTCTGCTGAGCAGTGTGACCAAACCAAAAGCTTTGTAGCAAAAGAGTTGCATGTAGAACTTGATTGTAGTTCTGAGTCTCACCCTTTATTTTCTGTTGTTGTAGGTGTGTATTTGCCTTTGTTATGGGAACAGAGTTTTTGTTGGAAAAGTCCTATTGCTCTGGGCTACACGAGGGGCCATTTCTCTGCTCTGGTTGCCATGGAGAACGATGGGTATGGCAATCGAGGTGCTGGTGCTAACTTGAACACTGACGATGATGTTACTGTTACATTTCTACCCTTGGTGGATAGCGAGAGGAAATTATTGCACATTCACTTCCTTTCTGCTCAAGAGGTAAGAAATAACCAAGTAGCTGCTAGCCTTCTTCACAGCTCCTTCTGAGTTGTAACCTCAGCATCCATGTTCCTGCAGTTCAGAGAATGGTCAGGATTAGGCTGTTCAGATGGATTCATACTGCTCCCCTCCTCATCACCTGAGGTGATTCTAAAGTGTTTTTCTCCATGTACTTGGTGTTTATTTGTAGGTCTGTAAGTTGAATGTAAATACACCACGCAGGGTACAGGTGTACCTTGAAAGGACCCACAAATAAAGACTCTGACACTAATGCCAGACTGAATTTTTTTTTTATGGATGCAGAATAATTATTGGCCAGCATTTACAGCATGGTCTGTCTCTTCTTAGAATGAAACACAACTTCACTTCTTTAATAACTATATAATGACAAGGAGCCACTATAATAAAGTGTGTATGTGTGGGAGTAGAGGGAATGGATGAAAATAATTTGTCATCCCTAAAAGTGGCCATCCTACAGATGAACGAGAAAAGAATACAACCTTCCAAGTTCAGGGAGGGCTGCTGATGTTTTTTAGTAAGGCATGGCATTAGCAGTGTCTTTCAAGAGGAAGTGTTTTGTATCAAATACTGCTGGACTCCTAAAAAGTGCTTTGTAAAGCCAGAAGGCTCTTGTAGGACCTGTCCTAATTAGACAGTGTGCCTTCTGTAGAAGTAGTTTCTCACAAATGACTGAAATATTGGAAAACTGTATTGGACAAGCCTGCTTGGAGAACTTAAAAAGGGAGGAACAGCTGGAGAAGAATTCCAAAACGTTCAAATTATGGTTGAAAAAGCAGTGTGCATTGGTTTCATTGGCAGTGGCTGTGGGATGCTAATAGTGTTAGCCTGGGAAGGGAACTGCATTGCTACCCCAGACAGTGTATCATAGAATCATAGAATGGCCTGGGTTGCAAAGGACCACAATGCTCATCCAGTTCCAACCCCCTGCTGTGTGCAGGTCGCCAACCAGCAGACCAGGCTGCCCAGAGCCACATCCAGCCTGGCCTTGAATGCCTGCAGGGATGGGGTATCCACAACCTCCTTGGGCAACCCGTTCCAGTGCCTCACCACCCTCTGGATGGAAAAACTTCCTCCTAATATCTAACCTAAACCTCTCCTGTTTCAGTTTAAAACCATTCCCCCTTGTCCTATCACTATTCACCCTTGTAAAAAGCCATTCTGTATGCTCCTTTCAGTTATTGGAAGGTGATTTCAAGAAAGTTGCTGTTAACATTTCAAGCCTCATTCTCAATCTGTTCTCTCTCTCTCCCTGAAGATAGGTAACGAGGAACAGCAAGAAAAGCTGCTTCGGGAGTGGCTGGACTGCTGTGTGACAGAAGGAGGGGTCCTGGTGGCCATGCAGAAGAGCTCTCGCAGGCGCAACCATCCTCTGGTCACCCAGATGGTGGAGAAGTGGCTCGATCGCTACCGACAGATCCGCCCTTGTACTTCCCTTTCTGATGGCGAGGAAGACGAGGATGATGATGATGAATGATGGGTGAATTTGAAAAAGCAAATTACCAGCACGTAGTGTCTGACCTGGAGTTAGTGTTGTGCTATAGCTGTTTGTTGTGGAACAACCTAATTCTAGAAGAAACATGCTGCAAAGGATTGTTCTAACCAGCATGGGGAGAGTCTAGAAGCTCATCTGCTGCGTGGAGAGCGCTAAATGGGCTGGACTACAGTTTGTATAAAACAAAAGAGAAACAAAACACCTAATTTTATTATCAAGACAGAAAAAAAAAAAAACCAAACACTTTTCTTTCTGATTGTAAATCTGTCTATAAATGTACCGCATGTGGTTGTGTAAGAGATTGTGTAATAGGAGAAGTATACCAGCATCTTAATTATTGCAAAGAAATTTTTCAGATAAGGGCACTTACAAAGCACACGTTAGGTGGATATCTCTTCCCTCTGAGATTCTTTTACAGTAGAACTTGGCATTCTACGTCCCCTTTAGATACTCTGACATATTTCTGTGAAAGGCCCTTTCATGTGAAAGCTCACTGGTGCCCGGGTCAGATGGTGAGGTTTTTTTGTTTGCACAAAATATCCACAGCAAGTCATAAACAAAACCACGTTCATTTTACTAATAGTTCAGTTACTGCTGTGCCCACAAATAAAACCTGAACTCTATGGAGCAAACTGGAAGAGAAGCTAAATTTTTCATGGAGTGAAATGATTTGTTTCCTAAAAAAGTCTTTTTGCTTTTTTTTTTTTTCCTCCTTTCATAGTTAGATTCCTTTCAGTATACTTAATGATATTTATTCAGAGATGTGACCTGAAGCATAGGGATTTGATTCCAGTACGTATATACTAAATGGAATTGTGTGAAATCTGAGAACTCGAGATGTGATTGGGAGTTTTACATTGTCAGAGCTCCGTTCTTGCTGTGATACAAACTACATATTGTTCCATCATTTATTCTTTCTTCAATTCAGACGTTGCTGCAAATGAGAAAACATCTGTTTCAAGGGTTGCTCCTTGGGTCGATCAATTTAGTGAGAATCCACTCGGCAGTTCTAATTAAAACAGAGGAATCTGTGCTGCAGTTGTTTTTAAAAGCACCGTGTTATATATTTCTCAGTATGTAACCCTGGGAATTTCTTGCATGTCGATTGATGTGGCCATACTTAAACTTATGTAAGTTCCTAAGATTGTAAGTTCAGAGTATATTCTCCAGTAGAAATTTTATTATATTTGATAACTTTAGCCATGTAACCTGTAATGGATAAAGTTTATCTAAAAAGCTCACGTAAACACTAAAGGTTAATGCCAGTTTTTACATATACAGTGCAATTCAGGTTTTCTTGAAAAGCACTTTGGATGGTGTGGTGGTTCCGTAAGGAATTTTGCAGTAGATGCAATTGTTGAAATTAGGATTTGGAAAGAAGCCCCATAGCACATATTTTTATGTAGTGGAAAGCTGTGGAAACCCTGAGGAACTTGCTGCTTTTTTTTTCTTCCAAATGCTGCTTAGATGGTGTTGAAATGTGCACAACTCCTCCATAAACTTGGTGATGGCACCAAAAGTACAGAGAGAATGAAGTACTGTATTGACTTAATCATTTTCCCATTGCAGATCCCACTGAGGTTCATTAGGAAATGCCTTCAGATTTTTTGGCCATTCTATCTCCTCTGATTGGTGCATGTGCAAAACGTCAGGTAAAAGAGTGCATGTTCATCTGCAGTGTATGTATGATTGACCTTAACTGACAGGCAAGCTGCTGATACCGAAGAGGTTTTTGGCACACGTATGGCCCTGTTCCAAGTTTGCTTTCTAAGTTGGTATTCTTTTTATTCTTAACTCGCAGCAAAGCCCTTTTACCCCTTGTTCTTGCTGATGGCTGAAGCTGGGCTGTCAGAGAGCTGCAGGCAGTGTGTGCTGGGATGAGAGCAGCACGTGGTCCCTGCAGCACTGCCCCTGTGCACACCAGCACTGAATGGATGGAAGGAGAACCTCCTGCCTTCATCAAGCTACTTAGAGGGCTGTGTGATGTGCCCCCTGCCCCTTATTTTCACAGTAATGTTCTGCTGAAGGAAGTAAAGCTTCCTTGTAAAGTGGGAAGAATAATTAATGTGAAACCTACCCTGAGCCCTGTTCTCTACCCTGAGCTTCATGTGGGCAGCCTGCAGCATCCCCAGCGAGTGGAAGCTCACCATGCAGTCAGTGCCAGCTGTTGTTAACGCATGCAGCGTGCTCCCATGTGTGTGTAGTTCTGGTGTGAGAGGGCAGTCCTGGTACTTCAGAGCTCCTGGCTTTCTTAATCACTATTGTTTTGTTCCCATGTGCTGTACAATGGTATGTTCAGGTTGATGAGCTTCCTGGGTCCGTTTGGGACTGGGGAAGTGTCTTCTTTTCGAAATCAAAGTGATCCAAACCTCATGTACTTGTAGATTAAAGAGATGCAAACCCTGCTTTGTGCTAGCACAGTACTCAGTGTATGTTCATGGCTATTCTTGAATTTCATACTTAAAAGTTGACAAATGCTGAGATGAATTTGTGAATGCTACCTTGCAGCTCATCAGCAAGTTCTGCTCCTTCAGCCAAGTACACAAACTTTTTCTCAGTTTTATTTTCCTCATTGTTGCTCCCAGAAGCAAACACTTTCCTGGCACAGACCTTAGCTTTCATTGCTACCTCCTTTACACCTGGTCAGTTTTCTGGTTTTATTTATGAACTCCTCAGCGGTCAATCCCTGTATTTCTTTTGGTTTAAATATATTAAAATTTAGTAATCCTGGGTTCTTCCAGAGTCCCGCTGCATGGCTTAAGGCAAGTATGACTGGAACTGATTTGACACCATTAACAAAATAGGTTTGTGTGCACTTAGACTTGCTTGCTTCCTTGCTCAAACTTCACCCCTTTTTAACTGTTAGTGGCTTTAGAGTGTTTGCCACCTTCAAGCTGCTTGTGAGCTGCTCTGCCTTCCTTCAGCAGCACAGAGCTCCCTGTCTGCTGCAGGGTGAACACAGCGTGGCTGTCAGCAGAATCCCAGGCGCAGATCTGGAGCAGCAGCTTTCAGCTCTGCTTTCCTCACTCCTTGGCTCCCATCTGCGAGTTGCTGTGCACCGCTCCACGTTGCTCATGCAGATCTCAGCTGTGGTGCTGCTCTTCCCCTTCTTCTAAGCATCATCTTTGCATCCCCTGCTGCTGCTCGCACTGCTGCTGCTCACAGCCCAGCAGAAGAGGTAACACTAACGCTAGGATGCTTCCTTCTGTCTTAAACCAGCATCCCTTAATCTCTACTGCTGTGCAGCATTGGAAGGTGCCTGCCTCCATCTGCACCCACTCCTACTTTGATTGGAGTGGGAGGTGGGTGCTGGGAGGGGAGCTGTGGTGTGAGCCTGCTTCTAGGGGAGGCCCTTCCAGCCCTCCACGATGCAACTTAAAGCCAAGGCAAAAATCCCAGGGGTTTGTTTTTAATGCAATCCCAAACCTTACGATCTATAACACGTTTTCCTCACCAAATGCCCCCTCAGTGTATCTGACCTGTGTGCTGCTCCCCGTTCTTGCTGTTCAGCAGCAGTCACTGGTGTGCTGGGACAATGCAGTGAGCTCTGACCTCCCAGAAATTATAGAAATTTTATCACTTTTTATTGAAAACTGCACTGAACGCTAAATGTCCACCTTTACAATAAACAAATACAGTAACGGTAACACACTAAAACAAAACATACTGCTGATAGCCATTGTTTTTTTTCTGTTTGGGACAGCTTAAGATTTCTTTGTCACAGAAACAGGAATGTACCCATACAAAGGCTCAAAAGAGGCCATCGTTTTAAAAACAAAAAGGCGATGATTCACAAAAGACTATGAATATAACATGTAACTAGTTGATACAAACCTAATAGGATTTGTTAAAATCAGTCACGTCTAATAGCACATTTTGAAGTGTTCTTGTATAAAATATCACGTGAAGAAAAGAAGACTTTTATCAATGTCTAAAAAAGTGGGTTTTGTTCATAGACAGTCTGACAAGTTACCATAAAAAGTGTTTCCTGAGACATAAGGAAATGCAACATTTTTCTTGAACCCCTTCCAGCTCAAGACTTCTCCACTTGATAAAATAGCTGCAGATTTAAAACTGAGAAAATATATTTGAGTACAAATAGTGTGTGAAACGTAATACTTTCTTCTTTCTTTTTTTCTTTTTTTTCTTTTTTTTTTTTTTTGCATCATTGCAGGGCACAGATGTGTGCACAGCTCCGTTACTGAGAGCTGGGCAGTGAGGAGCTGCTGCTTTGTTCCTCTGCCTTCCCAGCCCTCTGCCCCCAGCCTAGCAGGAGCACTCCTGGCACACATCGGCCCCGGGAGGCCGCACAAAGGATTTCATTGGTTTTTTTCTTCCGCTGCTAAGCCAGTGTTGGTGCCTCCTACTGTCAGAGGTAACCAGAAACAAGAGTAAGGAAAGGGCTGAAGCCACATCATGGTTTCCTCTTCCACTTCTATGTTAACTCGGTAAGGATTGCTTAATGCAATTGTTTGGAAACAGGTGCAGACACCCTGTTCTTCCCAAGGAAAGGAGGGGAAAAAAAATCTGATTTTTATTCATGTGATTGATGCACAGATGAAGGAAACTTAACACACAATAACAGAGGTCGATCATTTCGATCCTTAATGTATCACATCTTAGTTTTCAGCGCTTCAGTGAGCAGGTGCCTTCTTCAGGGCTTCTTCCCAGTCTTGGCTGCTATCACCGTGTCGGTAACACTGGAACATCAATGATGCATCTGTCCAAAAAATCAACGTTACAAATTTCGTATCAAATTCATTTTTAGTTCGTGTATAACTTCTTTTTCCAATGTCTCTTGGTCCCAAGTTTATCGAAGGATTTTGTTGTTTAAAATTATCTGCTATTGCTCGTTGGGATGTTCCCTGTTGTCACCGTGTTTTGTGGGCTGGTTCGGAGATGGAGCTTGGGAAGGATGTGCCACCGTGGGGAGGTTGTGAGTCACAGGGATGCCCCCGGGCATGATGCCCTCCATGGCTGCTGGTATTCCTCCTGGTGCCACGCTGACCATCCCGGGCGGGTACCTGGTGTGAGGAAGAGAGGCAGCCACCGTCACCTCACCTGGGGACCCAACCACGGGGGAAATGGAGCAAGGGCAATTCATCACTGCTGTAGGCCCAGTGCCGGGGCTTAAAGCGGGGATGGGTGAGCCAAGATGATTTTGTCAGCTGTAAAAATCCTCAAACACCTGGTGAGAGCTGCGATGAGGAAGCTGACAGTAGAGTTGCTACTGCCATTAATTACCGTGGCATTTCATATGAAATAATATTAATCTAAACCAGCACTGAAAACTGTCATGAATTTGACACAGTTAGTGAGAGTACCAGAGCAGTGATCTCATGAGCTGCTGTAACAACTGTGTGGTTTAACTGCCTGAGGAAACAAACTGCTGCTTATCAGCTGGAGGAGCAGAGAACACCAGATGTAATAAACGTGTCATGGCCCCCTACACCCTCCCTTTTTGCACAACTTTGCTTCTCCCTTCCTGGAGCTGGGCAAACTCCCTCTGGTGCATCTATCACAGAATGGCCTGGGTTGAAGAGGACTACAATGATAATCTGATTTCAACCCCCCTGCTGTGTGCAGGATTGCCAACCAGCAGACCAGGCTGCCCAGAGCCACATCCAGCCTGGCCTTGAATGCCTGCAGGGATGGGGCATCCACAGCCTCCTTGGGCAACCTGTTCCAGTGCATCACCACCCTCTGGGTGAAAAACTTCCTCTTAATATCCAATCTAAACATCCCCAGTCTAAGTTTAAAACCATTCCCCATCTACTGGCTTTGTTGTTTATTTCCCTGCTCTTTTTTAGAACAGGCCTTTTTCCTGCAGTTCTATGAAGCTCTACACTGCCCTTTGCTGGGTAATTCTGTATCACGGACAGACAGCTCTGCACCCATGGGACTGTGTGCAGCTCTTGGGTGTGCTTCTTTGGCCCTGTACCTTGACACTAGCTGTTAACCACAAGAAAGGCTTCCTCTTTTGCCAAGAGCAATTTCTTGAAGATTTTGGTAAGCAGTCATCCTGCATGCTGTGACATCCCCAGTATCTCTTGTAAAAAAGAAAAAACCCCCAAACAAACAAAAGCATCTTTTTCCTTGTATCTGAACAAAAATCTTCCCTTTTAGTTTGAAGTCACTTCTCATTCTATCTTGGTAGATGCTGCTACGGAGTCTGTCCCCTTCTTTCTTACTCTCATAAGCAGAGAAAGCACTTGGAAACTGGAGCTGGATTAATCCAGCTGCCTTCCTTACAGCATTCCAAGAAAGGACACTGAGTTTGAGAAAGGAGAAGCCAGGAGGAGATGCTCTGCCTGCTGCCAGGAAGGGAGCTGCTTACCATGGAGCTTAGCAGGGCCCCACGGGACACAACACCTCATAGTGGTGCAGCTTAAGGAGGATGCTTTCACCACCTGCAGGTGGTTTGGCCTCATTTTTTTGCTGGTCACTGCTCAGGCCCTTGCCCTCACAGCTCTGCTGGGGATGGGATCCTGCCTGCCTCTACACTACAGCACAACACGATGCTGGTGTGTGTGGAGCCTCCCACAGTCAAGCAGCAAGTGATCTAATCTCAGGGATTTTGGCGGAAATCATCAGGCCACCTGAATTTAGCCCTGTATTTGGAGTCCTTAGTTTGTGAGCAAACCCAGGCTTGCAGCCTGTGCAGTCTAACACAAACAGAGCAGATCTGCAGTCCCTTTTTCAATGCGTAAGTTTCATCCTGCTTGGTGTGAGTGCTGGCCCAGCAGCAGCAGCAGCAGAAAATCTGCAGGGCAAGCCCTGCTTGTGACTGTCCTTTTCTCTGGCTTACCTGTATGTGGCACCATTGAGCTCTGGATGGATTGCTTGCTGATCTATTACTGACCACGGAGCTGTTGTGACAAAGAACTCCTTGTTCACGCAGTTCCTTAGGCTTTCTGGGATGCGCCCTGGAGTTGGTATTAAAGGTAAGCATGTGTCAGGCACCCTGTTGTTTTATTACCCTATAATAAAGCTACAATTATTCCTTCTCCCTCTATTTGTTAGTGGAAACAGGGAAAAAAGGAGGAGAAATGAGGGTCCCAGAAGATCAACCCAAAGGTCATGGTGGAAGACCTCTTCTGTGCTGCCTTCAGAGTAGCTGCTCCCTTCAGCCCTATTTCAAAGGGCAGGGCAGCTCAGAGTGAAGCTTTGCCACCAGGTGAAGGACAGGGATAAATTTTAGGACAAGAGAACCACCCATCTGCTGGAGCATCATCCTGCAGCAAACTCTGTTCCAGCACCATTTGGACATGCTCTTTCATGTCCTTTCCATCCCAATCATCCTCAGCTTCTAACATGTCTGAATGACAGAAAAGTAAAGCTGGGTTTCTCAGGTCTCTCACTGGGAAGAAAATTAGGGTTAGAACCCTGGATGAGGCTATGGAAAGGCACAGCTCAGGGCCCCACAGAAGGGCTGTACCTGTGATCGCGCGCCGGATTTCGGTAGCAGCAGCTTCTCTCATCTCCAGCGACGCCTGCTCGCTGTACCAGGCCGTGTGAGGGGTGCAGATTAAATTAGGAGCATCTTTCAATGGGCCTTGAGCAAAACTGGGCGCAGGGGAGGAAAAAAAATAAATTAGCCACCATTTGAAAAGAGAATAAAAGGTGTTAAGAATGGCAAAGGGCTCCTTGATGTCTGCTGGGGCCGCTGGGCTCCCTGCAGGTTTGTGTGTGATGCTGAGGAAGGGACCACATGGAGCTTTACCTGAAGGGTTCTGACTCGTGCACGTCGAGCGCAGCCCCTCGTATCCGACCCTCCTTCAGGGCTTGAGTTAAGGCCTTCTCATCCACCAGCCCCCCGCGTGCTGTGTTCACCAGGAACGCTCCCTGCCTCATCTGGGGGCAGCGGGAAGAGACAAGAGAGCTGGGTGTCAGAGGGCCTTCTACAGCTGGCCCAACACTGGCTGGCATTAGCAAACCCCATCCTTATCCCCCTGTTCACTGCTTGTTTACAGGGGAATTTATCCAGGAAAAAAACAGGGACAAATGGTGTAAGAAGCTGTTTTGGAACCCAAAGGTGCTGGGCACGAGCACAGAGCCTGACTGCATCATCTGGGGTTTGGGTGCCAACTAGATGGCACTCGCCTTGGCTGTTCCTGAGGCAATTACCTGCTTAATCGTGAAGTCGTTGATGAGGTGGTGGTTGTGTTCGTTAAGGTTGCAGTGCAACGAGACACAGTCGCTCTGATAGAGCAGGTCCTGCAGTGTGTACACCCGCTGGACTCCCAGGGACCGCTCAATCCCATCCTGCAGGTACGGGTCGTAGAAGATCACGTTGAAGCCAAACGCTTTGGCTCGGACCGCAACCGCCTGCGCCGTGCGACCTGTGTGAGGGGAAGGAGAGTTAATGCAACCAGCCCAAGCTGCCAGGTGTGCACACTGTGCACCTCTGTGTGTGAGAATCAGCTCTCGGCTAAGTGGGTGTCCAAGCTCTGTCCCATCTATTGCTGTGGGTGAACTGAAGACAAACACTATTTACGCCAGGCAGAATGGCTCAGAAAGAGGGAGGTGATGTAGCTGTGTGTCAAGGCAGCACAGCCAGCCCCGGTCATTCTGAGGGCGCTGCTGGGTTTCACCACCACTCTCCTTGGAAAATACAGCTCCTTCTCTAAAGTATCAGCATAAAACAGTCTATGGCTACGTCCAGTACTTAGGGGGAGTTTATAAAGAGGAGAAAAGTGGCGTTTTAGATGGGGAGATTAAGATAGGCCAAGGGAAAATGGCTTTAAATAAAAAAGGGGAAATTCTGGGGGTGGTGAGGCTGCAGCATTCCCGCCCAGAGCTGTGGCTGCCCCATCCCTGGAGGTGCCCAAGGCCAGGATGGATGGGGTCCCACGCAACCTGATCTGGTGGGTGGTTTCCCCAACTGTGACAGAGGTTGGGAACAGACAGGCTTTAAGGTCTCTTCCAACCCAACCATTCTGTGATTCGACGACTGTATGTCACACCAACCTCGTGGGACACAGCCCCATCCCCACACCAGTAGTTCTGGTTGTACAAACTCTCCTTTTAGCTCATCCTACAGCACTGACTCTCCCTCCCTGCGCCGTCTGCCCACGTACCAAAGCCGATGAGGCCGAGCGTCTCGCCCCGGATCCGTGCAGCACCAGAGGCCACCTCCCGGATCTGCTCCACGCTCTGCACCCGCGTGCCCTCCCGCAGCGCCTGGTAGAGCCACGTGTTCCGTCGGTAGAGGTTGAGGACGTGGCAGACGGTGGAGTCGGCCGTCTCCTCCACGGCAGCCGAGGGGATGTTGCAGACGGCGATCCCTGCGGGAGGACACGGCTCAGGAGCAGCCACACGCAGCCCCAGACAAAGGCAGTTTGGGGACAGCGCTGTGCCGGGAGCTGCTCGGCTTTGACAAGAGTCCTTCCAAAAGCACAGCGTGCCTGGGCTTGGCGTGCACCAGGGTGTGCTGAAAAGCAATGAAGTTCCCTGCACAACGTGCACTGTCCTTGGCCCCCACGCACCATTTCTCAAAGTGAGAGGCCAGCTGGAGCAACACTTTGCAAGGAGATGCAGAGTTAAGGAGCAGCAGCCTCACATCTGCAAAGGCACCACGACTCGTACTGCTCAGGGTCACCTCTGAGAACGAGTGCCATTTCCAAGTGCAAAAGCTACGCAGGAATAACTCCAGGAGGAAATGTTTATTTTGTAAGAGCAAGTCCTATTCTTGTTTAGTTTAATCTACCTTCAAAGCAAATTAATCCACAATGGCACAAGCCACTCCTTCTCCACAATAAGACTGCTCAGCCATTAAGCCACACAGGGCACGACCAACCACCTCTTCTTGCACTGGAGCAGAACGACATGCTGCACATTGCATGGCCAGCTCCAGGTATGGCAAAACCTTTGGGTCCCCCAAGATGTGCCACCACAGCCAACTGAGCGCAGCTGCTCCAAGCTGGACCCTGCTTTGGTTTCCCAAGGTTCTCAATGGGGGCATGGTGCTGCAGGAAGGCTCGGGGTGACCATCACCACCCCAAAGTGTGCTCTTTGTGGTGCTGAGGCTTTTTTGGGTGCTGTTTTTGGGGGCCTGGCCATGCTGGCACAGCTCTCCCCACCCGGCACCGTGGCCGCCCCGCGCACAGATCCCCATAACAGAGCTTTTGTTCCTTTGGCACAAAGGGGTCATTTTAAAGTGTGCCTCTCTGCTCGGAGCTGCGGGTATTAAGTTAACTGAGAATGTCTCCCTGGCCATTACCCTGTTAAAGCTCTGATCCAGCAAAGCATGTAAGAGGGTGCTTAATTTCACGTCTATTCAGCAAAGCAGTTAAGCACACGCTTATATCCCACTGGCTTCAACGCAATTTAAACACACAATTTGAGATGAATGTGTATCTAAATGCTTTACTGTACTGGGGCCTTGGAGTAGAAACCATGAAAAAGCAGGAGATAAAGAGAGAATAACATTCCGAAAATCCCCTTCCACTTTAAGGGCCACTGACTCAGTTAAAAAATGAGAATATTTCGGGCCATGCACCCACCTTCTGGGCCCTCTGCCAACCTCCCTGCCTCCAGAAGCACGCTCTTCTGCTCTAAGACCTTTCTTCCTCCCTGTTTGCAAGCCCTATGCTGACCTAGAGAAACCTGACCGGCCCTACAGGGGTGAAACAACCCCAACTCAAGCTCCCAGCACCTTGTGCCTCTCACCCTGCTTCAGGCAGCAATGGCTGGTCCCACAGCCAGCCCTGCAGCGCTCATCCCTGTCTGATGGGCTCCTGCCCTTTTGGGTGCCTTCCTACCCACCCACCGACCCACTGCAGTGGTAGTTGCACCTGTTGGGAGTGTTTTTCCATCTCCTCAGCCCAGCAGGCGCTGTGTGCAGACACTGGACATTGTGCTGCCTGCACAGTTTAAGAACTACCTTATGGAAAGCAATACCAATTAAACTTTACGCTACATTTGTGGGTAGTCATTACATTTTCTACTCTAAACCACATCATTTGGCCACCCAATTTGCTAAGTATAAAAGAGGGATTATGCTGCAGTATCCCATTATTTTATTCGTTATGTTTTTCGTTTCTTGATGTTCAGAGCTTCAGAACGTCATTATAATGGATAATAACAATAAGAGTTAAAAACACGAAGAAACCATTAAACTGAGAAGATGCTGCTCTCCTCTAGAAAAAAAATAATTCACTATACTGAGAATTGCTTTTTAGGAATGCCTATTTGAAACTCTCTTATCACAATTATCCTTGCAGAATGGCTCATGCGGAGCAGCTGTTATCCCCAACTTCCCCAGAGATAGCCCTAACCACCAGCATAGGGCTCAGTGAGAGCCTGAGTCCTTGGATCAGGTGGCCCACAATGTCTGTTACAGCTGCTGCAATCACCAACACAATGGTGTGCAGCTCATCAGAGGTCTCTGTGACCCCTGTGATACGTGGTGGTCCAGCAGTGCAGCCAGGCATGTAGGAGCTGAACCAAGCCTGCCTGGACTTGGGGACTGCCCTTTGGCTCCCGTGGGGAGCAGAGGTCCCCTGTGCTGATTTTAAAGACCCAAAGGGACAAAGGAGGGAACTGAAGGGCAGGACTGAGACCTACCGAGCTCCCCTGCTGCTTTGATGTCGATGTTGTCGTAGCCGCTGCCTATTCGAACAATGACCCGCAAGGCCTTGAACTTCTCTAGGTCTTCTCGAGTCAGAGTGATGGTGTGGTACATCATCGCCCCAACAGCTTCGTTTAATACCTGCAACAGAGCACAGGGATGTCAGGAGTCACCAGGACACTCGGACAGAACACCTGCAGCTCCTGAGAGCCACTGAGATGCAGACAGTTACACGGGAGTTGCCCAGCTTTACCACCAACCTGTTGGTTGACCTGCCACAGTGCCACCAAACCCAGCAGCAGTGTGCCCACCAGAGCTGCAGCCATCCCCATGGGATCAGGCATGAACTGCATGGACACTCAAAGATCTATCAGCTCCTCCTCTTCCAAGCAAGAGTAATTCTTCTTTTAAGAAGCAATTAGGTTCTACAGCTGCATCCGCTGGTTTTGAAGACAACCATGTGCCACTCCATGACCTTTTATGTGTTGGATGGGTGGTACCTGTCACACTGCCCACTATTCCAGGAGTACATAAGACCATCTGTGTGAGGCTGTATGCCCACGTAAGGCTGTACTCCATCCTTCAATGGAGATTCAAACCCTCACAGGGCTCCCTTAAGCCACCTTAGTGTTCTGGGAAACCTAAGCCCTAAATTCTGCAAGACTCGCTCATTAATCAATGGACACCTCATAAAAAACCCTTCTCCTGCACTTTATACTTGAACATTTGGGGCTCTTTTCAGTTCTCTTTCCCAGACCCTGGATGTGATTTCTGACCTCTGCCCACAGCCATAAAACTCCGTGCTGGAGGCAGCGAGCTGCTGGTGCAGAGTGCTGGGCATGGAGTGCTGTGTGTTACTGCAGGCTCAGTGAAAGGGAGAAACCTTCAAAATATTGATGTTCAAAAGCTGATGCTAAGAGATAAGGTGACTTTTTGTTCCAAAATAACATCTGGCTTTTGAAACAGCCTCACTGAATTTTAATCAGCAGCAACTTCTGCTGATGCTATCTGGGCCAACTCGCAGCAGAGCTCTGAACAAATCTTCTTGAGGACTGGGAAGGAAGGAGAGCATCCCTGCCCCTCTCCACATGTCCCATAGCCACCACTCCGTTACCTTCTCGTGGATCTCCTGAGTTGATTGTGCATCACAGAATGCCACGGTCGCCAAGTCCTTCAAAATGGGCATCTCCACTGTGCAGTCCCTGCCATCCAGCAGTGCCACCAGGGGCCGGGGGTGCATGGGGCCATTCATGATCTGAGGACGGATACCTGCAAGCAGAAAGAGCACAAACCCTTACACCCATGGCAACAGCTCTGCCCAAGCATTCCTGTGGAGTGGAGAGCACACAGAGTGAAGGACACAAAACCAGTGCAGACAGTTCTGCTGTGGGGACACACACACACACACCAGTGCCACTCCTGTGCCTATGGCTGTTTCCTTGGGCATGGCCACATCCAGCTGTGTGCTGCTCTGGGCTCATTTTCTAATCACAGGCTCACCAAGGTGAGGTTAGGAAACAAGTGATAATCAGCAAGGGCTGCAGGAAGCCCCATGCTTCTATCCCATTAGCTGCTCAGCCTGAGATTATCAGGTTCATTTTTGGACATCGGTGATGGTTGTCAGGGATGTTCTGCTGGGGGAATTCAGTGCCATCATTTCTCTGTCGACAACCATGCCTTGTAGCTGTTCCTTTAGAAGCCAGAGGGGTGAAGGTTTGGGGCTGGGGTTTCTCTGCAGAACAAATGCTATTGTGTGCCAGCATCAGCCAGGAGCAGGGGCCGCTTTGCAGGGAATCACACCACCCTCCTGCCAGGAAAATGACAATGAGGGGAGGAAACTCACGAAGAAGAGCAACAGTGTGGGTTTTTTTTTTTTTAATTTTTTTTTAAAGGGAAAATGAAATGTGCCTGTTTGTCCAGATTGTTGTCAAGCAGGATGTGAGCCTGGGACACCAGGGGCCAGAGCGATGCCACAGGAGGAGCAGCACCAGGAGAGACCCTGGCAGCCACACAGCCATCAGGATGGGGAGCAGCACATTCCCTCTCCTCAGGAAAAACAAAGCCAAGAGTGAACCCACCCAGCACAGCCGACCCACAACATCCAGCATAACGTTACACACGAGTGGTTTTGGAGCCCTCCATCAGAGCACACAGGAGGAACGTGCACCGTTTGCACGCACATCCTCCAGATGGAAGCGCGGCTGTGTCGGTAGGCGAGATGATGTGGATAACCAAAAGGAGCTTGCCATAAGCAGATAAGCGAGAATAAAAACATGCACAGGGCGCAAAAGGCTTACACAAGCCTGAAGGGAAGCACTATAGCCAGCTGGATTCTTTCCTCTGTTTAACAAGCAAGTGAATTACAACACTGCCTTAACACACAGCACAGAATAGCATCTCTGAGATGAGGAGCATCACCTCCCAGCCTCACCCTGCAGGCACTGCACAACGAAAAGGGATAACGGTGCACAGAGAGATGCTGTGTAACACCCGTAGCCCATCCGTGCACGGCTGTCCGTCCAGCTGCCGGCACAGCACTGCAGGGAATGCCATCTCTTCACACAGCACACTTGTTCTGCACACACCTGCCTCGTTAAGGAGAGCCGTGCCCTGGATCAGAAAGCCATCAGGCAGCTGGGCCATCAGGTGCCTGGCAGCACTGCCTGCTGCGAGGGGTTGGAGAGAGATGAGCCTTTAGGTCCCTCCCAACCCAAGCCATCACATGACTCCACGACCCCATGGTTAACACCACAGTTAACCCCCAGCCTCTCCGCGTGCATCCCTCACCCAGCTCCTGCCTCCCACCACTGCCAACCACAGCCCCAACCCATCCCCTGGGGGCAGCTGGCATTGCTTGGTGTACTGAGGAAGAGAGAGGGGAGGAAGGCTTTGTGGACAAGGAAAAGGAGGAGCAGCAGCGAGGTTTTGCAGCCGCGCTCAGAACTCCGAGTCCAGCCGGCTCGCTTGTTGCACGCAGCCCGGTGCATAAAGTGCTTTTGTTCCATTTGGAAGGCACAAAGCCTGCTTGTCCTCTGCACCGCTCCTCCCCTCTGCCACCCACTTGTATCCGATCCCAATGGCACCCCTGCCAGGAGAATTAGGGAGCGCTCCTGCTCAATGGCAGCCTTTGTGCGGCCGCCAGACGGCGGGTGCTATCTCACAGAAACAAAAGCCGGAGCCATTTGCCTAATTCTTATTAATCTCAGTTCCCTACGCCACGCAGCATTTAAAATAATAAATAAAAGGAAAAAAGCCAGCATTAAACATGTTCACTTGCAGTATATCAAAGTGCATCGAGAAGCCAGCCTGACTATCGGCCGCGTTACTCATTCACTATGGAGTAGCTACAGCTTTACAGTCAACTACACACTTTATTAAACAAACAGAAAAGAAACAGGAAATTTCCCCTTGCCTGGAAAATGTTGCCTCCACATTCTTCTTCTTATTAAAAACCACACATGGCAGTGGAGGAGGAGGGAGGGAGGAGGAGGGGGGACCCACACACGAGAAATACTACCACCACTTTGCAGGGCGCAGGCTCTCCTTTCCTCTACGAGGGGGTATCTTCAAACAGGCGGTCCCGCGGCCCACAGCTGCACCATCTCAAGACAAACAAGTCTCTTTGAACACGGAGGGAAAAGAAAAGGCTTTTGTCCTGAGCCTCGGAAGAATGGTCTGCAATTGCCAGAGGAGCTACAGCCACCTCTGCGCGGCTCCCAACTCTTCAGAGCACTCCCTCCAGACTTTGCCGAAGCTTTTAACTAATCGTAGTTCTTTCCCAGCCCTTGAATAAAATCATGTGAGTGCCAGCCAAAAAATCTTATGCTATGCACACTAAAGGGTTTGTATATGTCACAGTTTCTTTTTCCCCCTTCCACTCCCCTCCTCCTATTGACTTGACTTGCACACACGGCTTTCTTTTTTTTTTTTTTTCCAGTTGTCTCAAATGGATTTAATCTGTGCCATGCTGTGTTTTATGTTTGTTTTGTTTTCCTTTTTTTTTTTTTTTTTTTTCCCCCCCCAAAGCTTAAAAAATGAAACATGCCTATCCACATGGAGCACATTGAGCAAGGCTCCAGGAACAAACCGAGAGCCTTTTGCAGCAGCAAGAAAAGCAGCACAAAGCACTGGGGAAGACAAGGCCATGGTGATCTCAGAGCACCACAAACCAAAGGCTAATTCTGCACATGTCCACCCGCTGGTTGGCAGCCAACAGCGCTCACCCCACAGATCCTCCCTGAGGTGCCCATCTCCTGCTCCTGCCCCTGTGCAGGGAGTGCAGAGGACATGGAAGCAGCCCCACAGCATCGCTCGCAGCCCACGTCCCTCAGCTCGTATCATAGAATGGCCTGGGTTGAGCACAGGGCCAAACACAGATTACAATCACAGAATCATTAAGGCTGGAAAAGACTTCTAGGATCAACAAGTCCAATCCCAGCCCGCCCCGTGCCCACGTCCCTCAGTGCCACATCCCCACGGCTCTGAACGCCTCCAGGGATGGTGATCCCACCATTCCTTGGGCAGCCTGTGCCAGTGCCTCACTGCTCTGAGAAATTTCTCCTAATATCCAACTGGAATTTCACCTGGCGCAACTTGTGGCCAGCATTTCTTGTCCTAGAAGAGCACACAGGTGTTTTTCCATTGAAATTCATGGAAAGGCTCCCACTGGTTTGAAGAGCATCATCCTTCATGACTGCACTGCTCTAAGGACCAAAGCGAGCCCCAAACTCAGAGGCTGCAGGAAGGAAGGAAGCAACTGCCCTGCCCAGGAGCTCTCCCTCTCACTGAACCTCTCAGAGAGTTCATAAATGCTTCCCACAATAAACACATGCACGAAAATGAAATAATACGAATGCCAGGACTGCAAGCCACATCCGAATGACAGAAGCAACCATAAATTAAACACTCGGTCAAAATACGGGGTTTTATATTTGCACATTTCACTGTTTTACAGCTTGAATTCCTGTAGGAGCACACACCACAAGCACCTACAGCCCTGAGCTCCACGCGTGCCCCATTACAGCACAGACACACACAGCACACTGCTGAAGGTCCCTGGGGCAGTAGTGCAAAGCAGGCAGCTCCAAGTGGCACAGGAGTGCACCCCACAGCACATCCCCCTGGGTCCTCCCTGCCCTCCTCATCCAATTCTTTTTTTCCCTTCTATCCAAATGGAAACTAATGGCATCAGGACAAAACAAAAAAGGTTTCTCTGCAATGCAAGCAGGAAGGTGTTCCAGCATCCCCACTGTAACAATGAGCCACACAGCACTGGGAAAGCCCTAGGGTTTGCCATCTAGATCACAGAATGGCTTGGGTTGGAGGGGACCTCAAGGACCATCAAGCTCCAACCCCCGTGTTGCAGGCAGGGCCACCAACCTCCCCATTTAATACCAGACAAGACTGCCCAGGGCCCCATCCAACCTGGCCTTGAACACCTCCAGGAACAGGGCATCCACAGTCTCTCTGGATAAGAGTCTCTCCAGACTCTCAGTCACCCTAAGGGATCTGAAGACTTTAAAGATGCTCTGGAAGATGGAAAAATGGAGGCTGAGATCAGCCTGGCCCAAGGCACAGCAGCCCTGGCATAGGGACACCCAGCATTGCCACCCCAGCCTGGTCCCATGTCTTATTGCTTCTCTGTATTGTAGTGCAGGGAAAGAGATTGGGGTGTGAAACAACTCCATGCGCAAATTCCCCAAACTCTGGGGAAGTCCATCTGCCTGCTGCCTGCAGCAAGACAGGGTGTCTTCCTCTTGAAACGAAGACTGCCTCCTTAGCAAGCATCGTGGTACAGAAAATAGCACAGCCTGGCCATTTTGGGAAAAGGCAGCCGTTCTAATTATATCATCACAGAGAGAGAGAGAAAAACAACTCAGGGTTTTCACTTACGCAGTCTGACAGCATGCGGGATGCTAAGTTGTTACGCACAGGGGGAAGTGACAGCCGTATGGCTGGGGCAGGAGATTCCCCCCCCTCCACTGAAAGAAACACCATCCATCACACACAGCCCTCAGCTTCAGCTTTTGGGAAGCGGAGGGGCTCAAGCTGACTGCCAGAGCATGTGCCATATGTACCTTCTAAACCTGTGTCAGCACGCTGCTCATGAACAGAAAACAAAGAGAACGCCACGTTGTGATGCAGCTGTTGGAATTAAATTATGCTGACGTTAGGCCTTTTAATTATGCTGGACAGAAAGGGCTACGAATCTTTTAATGAAGATGTACACGAAGGTTTCTGTATGCTGCTTAGTTCTGTGGCTCACGTAA